GAACATCCCTTATATTCTAGTTTTTCCTACAATCTTACTGCAAACATATTTGTTTCTGCAAACTTGCCGCAAGCTTGCAGCAAACAGCTGCAATGTTTGCAGAAGGTTTGCAGCTAGCTGCAAACATCTGCAAACACTATTCAAAGGGTTCCTGCATGATTTTTGTTTGCAGCAAACTACAGCCAAGTTTGCTGCAGATCTACAGCAAACATTTCAGTTCTGTTAGGGAGGTTAAAGAAATCTTCAACTTGCTCTAATTTGCCTGTGAAGACCATAAAACTGTCATCCCTATTGAGAGTGTAATTTGATGTTTTCTCTCCATTGGAACTAATCTAAGATTTTAACGAATAGGACAGACAGATGCAGATCTGTGCATGTTGGTGAAAATATACCACCCATGGGCGCTCCTATAATGTGTTTGTATAACAGTCCATTAAACTCAAATTCATTGTTTCTAAGAATTAATTTTAACAAATGCAGTTAAATCTATTTTGTTGAGAATCTTTAAAGTATATTCTCCTGTGTGTCAATTAATTCTAATGCATTGATAACAGTTTCTTCTAGATTATCAATGATTATATTTGTGTACCTTGACGTACATCATAGGCAATGAGAATGCATTCTTTTTTGACCTCGTGTGACTCTATTTTATTAATGGAATTTTTTACTTGAATGTAAAAGTTATGCCTCTTCAATAATGGTTTTATAATTAGATCAAGTAATAAAATTGAGAATGGAAATGGGGAATGTGTCAAAGAGACAACAACCCGACCATAGAGCAGACAACAGCCGAAGGCCACCAATGGGTCTTCAATGCAGCGAGAAACTCCCGCACCCGGAGGCGTCCTTCAGCTGGCCCCTAAACAAATAAGTATATATACTAGTTCAGTGATAATGGACGTCATACTAAACTCCAAATTGTACACAAGAAACTAAAATTAAAAATAATACAAGACTAACAAGTGAGTATCTCTCGCGGGAGAGTTGCATATATTGATGATTGGTCGGTAACGAACATTAATGTGTCCTACTAGCTGACCAGTTATCAAAGCCTCATTACTTATTTCTAGATTAATTTTATGAATTTTTGGAAGAAGGTACATGTGTCCCCCATGCTTTGAATCATTGTTATTTCTTTAAGAAATTATACGTCTAGGAATCTATTTTTTTTTCTCATTGCTTTATATTTAACACTTCTCTCAACATGCCAAAATTGTGATGATTTCGAATAAAAAGAAAATATTATCTTCCACACACATGACCATGCAAACACTGATATACACTTTCTTATTCAGTTGAATTAATAATTAGAATAAAAAAGTTCTAAGGTTCACGTATTGTCTTTTTTAAAAAAAAAAGCAACTTGTTGTGTCGATTGGTCAATTTCCCAGGGATAATTATGTTTACACATTGCATTTGGGAAATTACCATGCAAATGATTTCTAACGTCAGAATTCTAGTGGTCTCGACTTATTCAACTTGCATTAATAAAATCTGTACGCTTGATCTAATTTTAAGACACAACAAAATTCACAAAATACCTATCAGGGTAAATTTTCTGACCGTTAAACCAATTCAATGATTGAAAATAAAAGTTCGAAATCTTTTGAGTTCATCAGCGATAGATACAACACGAACATTGATAAACATGTAATAATACGTTAGAGGGCTGAATCAAAATTCCCAAATCACATGCTTGAGGAAAACTCAATTAAAAATTCCATCATATGGCCAAGGTAGTAAAGTTAATTGGAACAGTGATCTGGTAGAAAACATCTCAAAAACTTAGGTTGTTCATTTTCCAAATATGCGTCCTCTTTCGCCCAAAAAAACCTGTAAACATTCGCATAGGGTGCCTCATACTAAAAGAAAGCGAGTCTCTAGTGAAATACAAATGTTTGTGACTAAACTGAATTAACACACGTGCAAAAAGGAGAAACCGGGTTAGAATAATTATAGTTTGATCCCGCTACATGCTGGTGTATCAGGAGGAATGTCATCCCGATGTCCTAAAAAAGGTCCTGTCGCCCCTATCAGGAATTAAGGAACCTCGTCCGTGGTCTTAACTAGACATCTTAGATTTAATAGCTTTTGGTGAATTTCAGTTTTTGTAATGTCTGATTAATTTAGATCATTTTAGACTCGGGCCGAATTAGAGATTTATAGTTAAATTGACATCTCGATGTATTTTTACTACTTGTATCGTTGAGTTTGTTTCATAGACGAATAATCCACATACCCCTTTGTTTGTGTTTTCAAAAACAATGTCATAGACATGTGTTGGCGTAAGGAAGACTTAACTTTTCGAGATATAGGTCAGCAACCAGTATACTGTTATTTAAATCAAAACCAAATCAAACAGTTTTATAGTAATTTCCTTATTTTGTAGTTGAATACCGTGATAAACTGGAATCACTTAAATCTCGACACACATAAATCAAATTTTTATTTATATTTTTAAATGGTTTCACGACTGTGAACACTTATTGTTTATAAAGTGTTGATAACTGTGTAAAGAGAGTTAGATTTCAATTAAAAGGTGTGTCGTCACTATTATATATTACAACATTATTAACCAAGAATCAAGTATCAAATGTGTAATTCAACCTTTTCTTCTGTGGATAAGTAGATTTATGAAATAAAGTTTGTTATATATTTTTATTTTCACGTGTCTTTAAACTCAATGGGTTGCGTTGAGTTTAGAAGTATAGTCATCTCTAGACTTTTCCCGTCTAGCAGTAAAACGTTTCATAAAATAGGGGCGTCCGGTCAAAATGGGATTAAAACCATCGCATCGCATAGGTTGAGCTTCACTCTCTCGGCATAATACTCCTTATTTAACCTGTCTTAGGAATCCGTAGGTGGCATGTTGCAGGGCAAAATGCCTGCCCATATTTAAAGTTCCTCTTTTAACAGGAGAAGACAAAATGTCTCGCCATTAATCTGCATTCCCATCCTTATGTACAAGTTTCAACGAACATTCGTCAATATGTTTTTATTATTTCTGTATTTCTGTTTTTTGTCTTATCAAATCGTTATAAAAAATAAAGGCGACAAAGCTAATGTTTATTGCGGTATTTATATTTTTGCAATGTTACAATTCTAACTAGACTGATGTGAATGAATTGGTATTCAATGTCCAGTGGCAAATATCATATGCATAACAGAAAAAGAAGATCGTATACTGTGATATAAATACGAACCCTGCATTGTACTAGACCAAAACGCTGAGTCGGAATTTTAACATAATAGTTCACAAGGTAACAGTCAACTGAAATACATGTCGCTCTAACCTAGCAAAATCTATAGTTCTTACTGTAAAATGATAAACGAAAAACAATAGTCGTTTAATCTATTATAATTATACCGAATACATCCTTTTCCAGATTGTGACATTTTGACCGAATGTAGATACACATAGTGGGTGATGCATGTATAGCCGGAGACACTTACCTGTCAAAGCATCCTGTCTCACTTCTGTTGGAGTTCATATTATTCCCTCAGTTCTTGTTTGCAACCTTGACTTGTCTGATTTTTAACAATATTATCTGAATGTATTAAATAACAAACGTCCTTTTATTAACTTTATAACCTGTTTTGTCATTATAACGAACTGTAAACAACTGTCATACAAGTGAAAAGGGGGGGGGGGGGGGTAGCTAGAAAAAAAAACCAGGTTATACTCACCATTTTCGTCGGAAAATGAATGTTCCAAGCCAGGAATATTACAGTTCTTTTCAACTCGTTCCGTTGCCTGATAACGTTTGCTTTTGCTTTATGAACTCCCCTTTTTAAATTTACCTTGGAGTTCGGTATTTTTGTATTCAACAAAGGACACTCTCCAACATCGTAGACATTTGCTGGAAAATATTTCATGACAAACACCTCTTTTTTGTTGATCTTGTATTTCTGATAATTTTGTCTGTTTAATTTATCTACTAATATATCTTCTTTAGTTTTTGCACACAATACAAAAGCAGGTAAAACAATCGTCATTTAATGGCAATCACTCCTTTAAAGACTGAATGTCTGCTAACTATATCGGCAAAAATTGACTTGTTTGTAGATCTTGCCTTGCTTTGTTTTAAAGTTGCTATTAATCTATTTTATTTTTATCATGAAAGGCAAAACGCAAAAAATTTATTGGAAAAAATCGTCATTTAAGGGCAATAATTCCAATAAGGAGTTATCGGATTATTTTCTCCATATTATCGCAATTGTAGATCTTGTCTTGCTGATCATGTTTGTTTAATTATTTTCCTATGTATCTATTATAATTTTTAAGAAGCAAGTCAAAAACGCAAGAGATTGGTAAACATAACTCCTTATAAGAAGTCGACTGACGATTTCGACCATTCGACTCATTTGTAGATCTTGTCTTGCAGATCTAATATGCAATCTAAAGATTTTCTCTATCTGTTATAGTTTTCTATATAATATGCAAAAGTTTAAAAAAAAAAGTGGAAAATTTGTAATTTAAGGGCAATACCTCTTATGACAAGTCCCCTGACAGTTTTGACGCACGTAGACAATGGATAGAGCTCAACATTTTGACCATGTTTTTCCCCTGTTAGATTTTCTATTTATAACCGTTTTCAAAATAATAGATATTACTTGCATTTTACCATTGTGTTTTTAGTTATGTCGGCTATCTTGGTTGGCAGGCGGGGGTCATCGGACACAAATTTATGATACCTCAATGATGATTGTGGCCAAGTTGGTTAAATATGGTGGGGGGCATCGGACACAACTTTATGATACCTCAATGATGATTGTGGCCAAGTTGGTTAAATATGGTCGAGTAGTTTCAAAGGGAAGATTTTCTTTTAACTAAACGGACGGCCACAAAGACGACGGACGACTACGACAAATGACGCCTTTGCGCCAAGTGAGCTAATAAGAACAGCGTTAACTTAGTTTGACACATAAAAGTAACAACACATCAAATTTACTTAAAAAACACTTTAGAGAAAAATGGCAAAATGAATAGATAATACGCCTGAGATATGAATGTGTCATATATTTTTAAGGTTAATACAGTACAATGGCAGAAATAAACAATAACAATATTTTCCGAATCTACACAATTATTTTATCAAACAAACATACAGTTACTGTTTCTTGACTAATATGCAGTGCTACCTACATTTGTGCTAAAAATTGCATGTAACAATCTTCAAACGACGCAATTTCAATGCTACATTTTTGTACTAAGAATATGTATATTTGATAAATCAACCTTTATTTGCGACTTTAACGCACGTTTTAATCTTGTGAAAAAAAGTCGGTCTCTCACATCTAGGTAAGCATAAGAATTAAGATAATCTTTAACATCTCTGTCTTCCGTTTCACTTCCATTAATTTGCATAAATACCACTATTAAATGGTTATACTTTTGAAGACGTGTCTTTTCGATTGCCCTTTGAAACACAAACAATTGCAAATCATCGAATGAATTAAAACTAGAAGTTACAAAAACTGTATGTGACGATGACTCGACAACGAGCCCAATATTTGTCAATATACAGGCACCAGAATGAAAATGACTATCCGGAGTACAAATTCTGTATGATTCTCTCTCTAATCGTGGTATTAAGTTGTTTTGACAGTAATCACGTTCATCGCTTGAATAACAAAAGAATAAATCATATTCATTGTCGATTGTTATTTGCAGCTCCCTATTAAACGGAAACAATTTTGTTGGACTAATATCAATCATCTGTTTACCTGGTCTAGTTCCAATGTTATTCTTTGAATATGATCTTAAGATATATTTGATTTTACTGAAAAATAATGCACCTGTGCAATTTAAATGTTTATGAAGTCTTATATGCTTCTGAATGTCCTTATTCAATACAGGAAATACAGTCATTTTTGTAACATTTGTTACTAGCAGAAAATTAGCTCTGTTTACTTTGATTTTATTTTGACACTCTGCCCATGTATAATCCATTAATACTGTATTTGACATCATATCATCGGATAATATAAGAAGAACATGTTTGCTTTGGAATACTGCAGAGGAAACATTTTCTTGCAAAGAATATCCAGCAATAAAATCGTGTGCAACACTAAAAATTACGAATTGCAATCGTTTAAGGGGCAATACCGATTTTTCTTCCACAAATTCCTCGGAGTCTTTAGTGTAAATAATTGCAAGGTCTATTACTTCCCTTTTATCACACTTCCGTCGATCGAAAGGATGTAATTCAAAAGTTACGTAGAGAAGAACTCTGATCTCTTCTCTAAAGTATATTATCATAATCACTATAATGCCTACAAGAATTAGCAATGCGGTCCCAACAACAACGGGAGTTACATATGATCTATATATTGTTCCTTCTTTACACACAAATTTGTAATCTTTGAAGTTAACTATTTGTTGCGCCTCCTGGTGGTTTTCATTGAAACAAGTTACTTCACGTAAGTTGTCGATTGAATAACTATTCGTTTTAAGCCATTTTTTAGACCACAAAGCATGACAGTCACAAGCAAATGGATTGTTCTTCAAGAATATCATATCTATATTTAGTTCGTTAATTCTTTCTGGGATGCGAATCAAGAGATTATTGTCAAGTTTCAACATTTTTAAATTCATCATTTTAGTGAAAACTTCAGGCTCAATTTTAACTAATTGGTTGTTGGACATAAGAAGTTGTCGTACATCTCCTAAATATTTCCGTACGGTTAGTTTTGAAATGTTATTATTTTCTAACCATAGATCCAACATTCCCGTCGGCATACTTTTAGGAAGTGTGTTTAGTCTTTTATGTCTGCAATTTACTATGGTAACATTAAATACTTCACGTATATAACACGCACATAAATTTGGGCATTCAGAAATATCGACTATTGAATATGTATCTTCTGCTTTGAGTGAAAGTACAGTTCTTTCATTGAATTGTAATGGTACTTTGCATATCCAATCGGTGTAGAAATATTCATTTCCTTTCCAAACTCCCCTCTCATACAAATTTTGCATTAATTCATTAAACGGCATTATATCAGAATAACAATTAAAAGATTTCATTGTAAATATGAATTTGTAATGCTTCAATATTATCAACAACATTTCTTTTGCATGTGAGCTTACATTATTTGTGATAAAGAATCCAGTGACATTAGATTGCTGTAAGTTAATTTCTCTCCAATTGTCTGTTGTTTCTAAATAAGTTCTCTCAATCGAGCTTCTGGATTGCTCAACACTTCTTACAAGTGCTGTCTCATCGATGATTTCAAGAAAGTTCATATTTTGAAAAGATATATTTGTAAATGGAAGATCAATTGTTTCTAGGCCTCTAATATACAGTAATGTAACCGGAAATTCTCTAATTGGATTGTTATTCAAGTTGATTCTTTGCAACGCTACACTATTCACTGGAAGTATTTCGTCACCTACTGTGAGTATTTTATTATATCCCAGATCTAAAGAAATCAGTTTATTAAGGTAAAGGAACACTTGTTTCGGTAATACATTTAAACTGTTATGTGCTAAACTAAGAATTATTAGGCTTGATAACTGATCAAACACTCCAGGCGGTAAATTACTAAGTTTATTTTTAGTAAGATCAAGATACAGTAATTCAGTCAGTCCTGAAAAAGTCAGTCCTCTTATTTCTTGTAATCCAAGTTCACTTAATATAATAAATTGCAGTCCTTCCACATTTTTAAAAACATCTTCATCAAACAAGGAAATGTTGTTTTGGGAAATTTTGAAAAAGTGCAACCTACGACTTATTTGTATATCACTTCCTGTGGTGAGTCCATTGTTTGTTAACGATAAATGCCTCCGAAAAATATCATATGGGATATTTAGATGGTAAGACGTACTTATATGGTTTTGTAGATACTCTGACCTTGATATGTTATCTGGAAGAAACGCATCACGTATCGACCACGGAAATTCGACTGTGTTCTTTATATCACAATTCAGGACTTCTAATGTTTGTAGGTCTGGAAATTTTTTACGGAGCTGCTGTTGATGAATAGCTCCTATGCACTGACCTAACAAAACCTCTTTTACGTTGAACGTTTCATTGTTACAATTGAACATATACTGTATAAAACTCATGATATCATTGTGTATAGAAGTAAGAGCTAATGATAGAATATTTTTGAAGCCTTCACATGATGACCTGTAAGCTGTCGCTTCAAAAGAAGTAAAATTAGCAGTCAATATAACAAATACACGAGCGTTAGTTATCAAAAAGAATAAATCAATCTCCCTTGGATCAAAGCTGCATTTGTCTAGCTGAATGTAGCTAATTAAATTTGAATGATATGTTGCATTTTCTAACTGATCAAAAGAAATCTTAATATATTCGTCGCAAATAAATTTAAAAAGCGCAGTTGTTATACTTTCATTCGGAAAGTTGTAATCGTTTATAATAGCTTCTGAATTCAAGTGACAATTATAAGCTGAACGAATTCGTATTTGTCGTCCAATAGTTACAACATTTTTTGAATTGAGACGGTAGAGTGGTTGCAATTTATACGGTTTAAGTTCCATCTGACATTCCAAATCACTAGATGTTATCATCTGTATAGTCAGTACAAAGGTTAATGTTCTAACTATAGTATCCATACTTCCCTTATATGTGAATCATGAGCCTTAGCCTTTCATTTGATGTAGAAACCTTTAAAATAATATTAAAAGGTAAGAATATATTAGATAATCAATAAATTGTATTTATGCGAGAATATATTGTTATGAACTAGATTGTATAGATTCACAGTTATTCTATGGTCCTGAGACCAAGAATAGGGATGACTAAATTAGCTGACCAAAAACCATATAAAAGAACAAATACAGAAATATCCAGTTCATGATCCTTTTACTTTTGGATTGTATGTCTAACGGATGACTAAGGAGTTTACCGCTATGCAGGGAAATAAAAGCATTTGCATGATATGTTTGTGGTAGAACGCATATTGATGATATTTTAGCTCTCTATTCCATTACTAGATATATGCTAAATTTATACATTTCATAAAGCAAATAAGACAATAATGTCACTTGGAAAGGCTATTGGATTTTTACTTTGCGTATCATATGGAAAGAGAACATGAAAAATAATGCCAGCATTTTAATTATCATTTTATTTTTAAATTAAAGAGAATGGAAAGCAATGTATCATATGCATCAAAATACGTTCAAACTTTGATCAAGTTCAAACGGAAGTACCAATCTACTTAGTTAGGCCTTTCGCAACTGATATTTACAGTTTGTTCTTATGTTGTGCTGTTACATCAATGTCTCAGGTTAGAGGAGGATTGAGCGCTCACAAACAAGTGTAACACAGTCACGTTCTGAATGTCCCTGTCTAAGGTCAGGAAACTGTAACTAAGTGGTTGTCGATTGTTAATGTCATATTTGACAATTTTTGGTAAATCGTATTGTTATAAATAAGGTCGTTTTCACGTTTGAACTGATTTACATTTGTTATGTCCATGTCCAGTCTTTTACATGACTATACGGTATGGGTTCTTTTCTTTGTTCAAGGCCATACAGTGACCTATAAATGTTTATATCCGCGCCATTTAGCATCTAGATCTGGTGGATAGTTGTGTTGTTGACAATCATACCACGTATCGGCATGTTTTTTTATTCAATTGTTTGATTCTGAATATTTGACAAAAACTAGTTTGCTTCAGTAGGGTAGTGAACAAAAGGGATTTTTTTTCTATGTAAAACGTGGTAAGAAAAAAAACGTCAGTCACATTAATTAAAGAAACATTTTTCTTGTGTTCTTTGACTTTAAATGACCCGCGAATCCCGCCCTCTTTCTCCAAAAATCTTGCAAATGAAGAAGGTTAATGTTCTCAGATCATGCTAACTTAACAGATGTATCCTAATTGAACTTGGTGTTATGGCAATAATAAAAATAATCATACAATGTAAAATTTTGTCTTTCAGGGAGAACGGATCCTTGATTATATTGTAAAGTGTATTTAAATCATTATAACAAGAACAGAAAACTGATATCAAACATGTACTCACATACACAAACCAGCCAACAATTGTCCATATAGCATAAAAAACGGCTCTGCGAATCGATTTACTATTGTCAATTGTTGTGAAGGGAATTCCGGGTATGCCTACCTATGTAGATTGATTGTCGTTGACGAGTACCAAGAAATTTTATTAAGTACGTAAATTCACCCGAAAATGCTAAAAATAAACAGGAGGTAAACATATGTGGGCGAAGTGTAATGTAATGTGACATTGTATTTTGTTTCTTACAACAATAAAACACGGACATATCTTTATATAAATGATTTTAATAAAACCCATATGTGAAATAGAAACTAATTTCACTGGTAGTGACACCATACACATGATATAGAACCAATATTCCTCTTTAGGACGAACATTTTCTTGAAGTTCTGCAATGTTTACTAGCTTTCACGGTATCACACCGTACTGTGTATACGCAAAGGTTAAAACATTTTGTCGAAAATCTGAAGTTGAAAAAAATCATACATGCCTGAAGATAGCTTTGAATTTAACTAACGTAATCTTGCAGATGCTCATAATACATAAGATTATCAGACACCAGCATATATATTTTAACCGTTCTCTTATAATTATATATTTTAATTTAGGGTTCAAAATTCTTGCACTAATCCCAAACTGCAAAAAACTGCCACAAAAGTCTTTAAGTTAGTTTTTGTGGATAAAAAGCTTATAAATGATATACATAATCGTCAATTTTGCACACAGGTATTTCCTGAATTGCGTGGTGTAGAATATTCATCATGTCTTTAATAGATATTCTTTTTTATCTTACCTCCTATACAATTCTAGGAATATCACTGGCTAAAAGCAACCCTGTGGAGACACTTGAATATTTCATATGGGGGTTAGAAGTCGTGGTTTATTTTAATACAGAGTTAGTGGTGGTGTTACGTCCCTTTACAAAATCTTAAACGTTTCACCCGGACAACAAATGAAGAGATTGATGATGGACGATTGAAACAAATGCCGAACACACATCAAAAGCTAACAAGTTGTTATTGTTGGAATTTGTTTTTGCATAAACCAATGGAAGTAGGTTCTTTATATTGAAGATGTAATCACTTTGATCGACCATTAGTCTAAATGCCACTTGTTAAGATAGTCGGTAAGATAAACTCGATGTACAGTGTGCTAGTGACCTAATACGATATATATTGGGTCAGTAAATTCCATATGGGGTGAGAGCGAACCATATGGAATTTACTGACCCCATATATATCGTATTAGGTCACTGTGTAACTAATAATATCAGTTCTGGTCAGAGTAGAATATTAATACCATAATACTCTAAGTCCATTCCCGAACATTCTTGTTCCCCTTCATGAGTTAAGGGGAATAAACGTCCGCTAGAACTGTGACCACGAATAGAAAATGTAAATAATGTATCGTTTTCTCAAACTATTTTTATCTGTTATCGCGATCGTTAAAATGCCTATCCCTATTGATAGTTTAACATTATTTAAACTCTTGATATATCAACATACCTGTCATATAAAATTGATTGTATCAGTTCGATCATCTTTGAGATAACGAGAGTCAACTATCTATATTTGTAACTTTTTTCAAAGTACTAACATTGAACATAATACATTACATTAAATTGAAATATACCAAATGCAATATATGACAAAAAGTTACACCAATTGTGACAGCAGGCATTTAAAAACGTGCACTTGTTTAAATATGATGAAACAAAGTTACCCCGTTCACTGTAGGTAAAGTGTCCTTTGGGATTGTTGTTTTTTCGAATGATTCAGTCCACCTTTTTTTCGAGTGTAGAACAGTTTTGTCGAGTGCAATTGCATACGATCAAAGTATTAACTTTTATTAAGAAAGTATATCAGTCTTTTAATGAATGAAAATAATAAAATCAAGCTTCTAACATTGTCCGTGTAATTTTTCGAGTACTAAATTCATAGTGTCCGATTTTTCTTAATACTGGTCCTGTCTTTTCAAAAGAAAATATTATCCTGGAACACAAAGGCCAAAACGACAAAGTCGAAAAGATTACAGGTACAATGTCAGTAACTGCGGGAACTCTCAGATCTGATCTGTACTTCGTGTCTTTTTTAGTTGTGCGGGATGTATAAATACCCTGCCACGTCCATCTGATAAGTTAGGCCCCTTTCAACTGATTTTCAGTTTTTTCTGGTGTTGTACTGTTATACTACTGTCAAAGGTTAGGGAAAGGGGCGCCTTCAAAAATGTTTTACCCCGCCACATTCTTAAGTGCCTCTCCCAAATCAGGAACCAGTAGTTCAGTGGTTATCGTTGGTTCATGTTTGTCATATTTGTTTTTGGAAAATTGTTTTGTTATAAATTAGGTCATAAATTTTCTCAATTGAATTGTTTAATATTTTTCATGTTGGGACCTTTGAAAAATGACTATATGGTATGGGTTTTTCTCATTGTTGAAGGCTGTACGGTTGCCTATAAGTGTTTACGTCCACTTCATTTGAACTTTGGTGAATAGTTGTCTCATTGGCAATAATACCACATCTCATTATTTTTATAAATAATTGTATAAAATTATACAGAAAGCTAAAAGCTGAACCAAAAAAACTATTTTAAAAAATCGGGTGAACGCATGGATTTTGAGGAGTAGGCAGTTGCTACTTCGCTAGTAAACACACCGTGTTCAAATAATTGATAAATGTAACTGTTATCCAAATTCAAAACTGTATGGCTATGTCAATTCACATCTTTGATTATTATTCTTTCATTTATTCCCAACTTTTATGGACTTCGGACGATTAGAGCTAGAGATATAGATACCACCGAAACTTACTGTTACCCTCTAGGTGCCGTTTGGGTTTTTTTTCTTGAGTTGTTGTGTCATTTGAATGTCAAAAACATCAGGGATATTCTATTATATCATGGTGCGTTCGTCTTTTCGGTTATCCTAAGCTTGTATTAGAAGAATATGGAAATATGAAGCTCAAGCAAGCAATAATGGTGTGTTGTTACTGCACGATCAAGTATTACATATGCCTGATTGCATCTCCACAGTAATAACTTAGTTAAATTTAGTTAATTTTGGTTTTGTGCATTTGTATTAATGCGAGTACATAATTACGTGAGAATTTTCATTTTAATAAATAATCTACAATTATATAGAAAAGATTCATTTCATAAATTATTGAGAAGCAACAAACACAACTTTCCTATGTTTTAGAAATCCAACTCCTCAAATAATATGTATAAAACGATAAACGAAAAGCGATTATGATATACAGCAGCAAACGACAGCCACTGAATTACAAGATTATGACTTGGGATAGGCACGTGCAGAATGTGGCGAGGTTAAACATGTTAGCGGGCGCCCACCCCTACCTAACATGAGACAGTGATGCAACAACACCACACTGGACTTATAAAATATTATTTAAAAAAAAATTAAAATTAATTTCCAAAGAATTCAACTGTATGAAATACGAAACTTTTCACATGCTGAAATGGCATCACATGGGGCCTTTCGGGGTTTTCAAATTTGTGAAAAATTTAATTTTGATTGCTGCATCTCACCCTGTTATAAATGTTACTTTATTATCAAAGCAGGCGTCCTGTACAATGTTTCATGTTGATATCATGCTTTGACCTGCCGAGTTTATGTTGTCTACCGGGAAAAAATGCCCTTGTGTTGAAAAAAGTAAAATAGCAAACAAAACAAGGAAAATTCAAAACGAAAAGTCCCTTATCAAATGGCAAAATCAAAAGCTCAAACACTCCAAACGAATTGAAAACAACTATCATATTCCTGACTTGGTATAGGCATTTCCTTATGTAAAAATTGGTGGATTAAACCTAGCTAGACCTTTCACTTGTATGACAGTCGTATAAAATTTCATTTTATTGACAACAATGTGTGAGCAAAACAAGCAAATTTTGGGTACAGCAGTCAACATTGTATTATAATGGTAATCGCTATAAAGACAAACATCTATGTCAACAAAGAAAAACAAAATGGTATAAAGGCACTCTTTAGACAAAGCATATCAACATGGTCGTGGTACCTTCCGATGAACTTTTTTTTTTTAGAAAAAGGACGGTACGTTCTTTGACATAACCCCGGTTCATCAACTTTCTGCTAAGACACTGGTGACGTTTTATAATATCTAATTAGCAGTTGCAAGAATCTTGAATACCGATTGAGTTGGGAAATATCTATCCCATATGCAGGTGAAATTGATATATTGCTGATAAGGTGAGGGAATTTATAATTTCAAAATTAAAATCGCCTCGTTTGTCATAGATTCTGGTACTTAGATGACCGCTTATGTCAAATTAGAGGTATAAGTCTAAAAATGACGCCGTGTCTGTTGTTTCTTTAATTTCTAGTTCTGGTCGATATATTAATGGAACCCGATCAGAAAAAAATGGATTATTAATGGAAAGAACATCATCAATACATCTGAATGTAAAATTAAATGATCTGGCTTCTTTGATCTTCTTGTTTTTGAAAAGTGTCTGACAGAACTCCGACGCATATGAAAATAAGAAGAGGTCAGCAAGGAGAGGCGCACAGTTCGTTTCCATAGGAATGGCCACAGTTTGTTCAAAGAGTCTACCTCCAAATTCAACAAATATATTGTCAATAAGAAACTCCAGCATACTGATATTTTTTATTGAAACAAATGCACCAAGTTTTAAAATGTATTACTCTATTTGGTTGATTCCCTATATAGCTATGGATGAACGTTATATATTAACATGATTAATACGCTCTCAATTTCCACAAAAAAAAACCCAAAATCTTTAGAACATGACGATATTTGTATTAAAAATAATTAATACAAAAATATCATAACTGCATAGCATCAAGTGCACAATTATACAATATTCAAATGTCATTTCTAGCCATTTAAAAACCAAAATATAATTCAATTCATGAAACGTTGGGTGTAAAGTTACATCTTATCGGATAAATGCATCATGACAAACAGATAAATGGAATACAAAAATGTTAAAATGTCATACTACTGATAAAAGAAAAAAGGACAGTTTGACAAAACAATCAATATAACATACCTGTGGTTCTTTGACAATTATATTTACCTTTATTTCCTAATGGTTTATATTTCGAATGAAAAATTGATACTTTCTTTCAAACAGTTTTAAAATAAAATAAT